TTGCTGGGTCATATAGCAGTTCTATTTCAAGCTTTTTAAGAAATATCCACACTGTTCTCCATAGTGGCTGTACTAATTTGCATTCCCACCAACAGTGTAAGAGGGTTCCCTTTTCTTCACACCCTCTCCAGCATTTATTGCTTGCAGACTTTTGGATAGCAGCCATCCTGACTGGCGTGTAATGGTACCTCATTGTGGTTTTGATTTGCATTTCTCTGATAATGAGTGATGTTGAGCATCTTTTCATGTGTTTGTTAGCCATCTGTATGTCTTCCTTGGAGAAATGTCTGTTTAGTTCTTTGGCCCATTTTTTGATTGGGTCATTTATTTTTCTGGAGTTGAGCTGGAGGAGTTGCTTGTATATTTTTGAGATTAATCCTTTGTCTGTTGCTTCGTTTGCTATTATTTTCTCCCAATCTGAGGGCTGTCTTTTCACCTTGCTTATAGTTTCCTTTGTTGTGCAAAAGCTTTTAAGTTTCATTAGGTCCCATTTGTTTATTTTTGCTTTTGTTTCTAAAATTCTGGGATGTGGGTCATAGAGGATCCTGCTGTGATTTATGTCGGAGAGTGTTTTGCCTATATTCTCCTCTAGGAGTTTTATAGTTTCTGGTCTTACATTTAGATCTTTAATCCATTTTGAGTTTATTTTTGTGTATGGTGTTAGAAAGTGTTCTAGTTTCATTCTTTTACAGGTGGTTGACCAGTTTTCCCAGCACCACTTGTTAAAGAGGTTGTCTTTTTTCCATTGTATATCCTTGTCTCCTTTGTCGAAGATAAGGTGACCATAGGTTCATGGATTTATCTCTGGGCTTTCTATTCTGTTTCATTGATCTATATTTCTGTCTTTGTGCCAGTACCATACTGTCTTGATGACTGTGGCTTTGTAGTATAGTCTGAAGTCAGGCAGATTGATTCCTCCAGTTCCATTCTTCTTTCTCAAGGTTACTTTGGCTATTCGAGGTTTTTTGTATTTCCATACAAATTGTGAAATTATTTGTTCTAGTTCTGTGAAAAATACCGTTGGTAGTTTGATAGGGATTGCATTGAATCGATAGATTGCTTTGGGTAGTATAGCCATTTTGACAATATTGATTCTTCCAATCCATGAACACTGTATATTTCTCCATCTGTTTGTGTCCTCTTTGATTTCTTTCATCAGTGTTTTATAGTTTTCTATGTATAGGTCTTTTGTTTCTTTAGGTAGATATACTCCTAAGATTTTACTTCTTTCTATATTTTGTTTCCAACAGCAGCTTTCTGTAATTATAGTTACTCTTATGATGGACTTTTGATTTATATTTATATAAAGTTAAAAGCAAGTTATGTACCAGTATTACAATATTACAATATTCTGTATTTCTCTTTAGATTTACCAGTAAGATTTACACTTTCATGTGAAGATACTTTTGTATCATTGTTTTGTTTATGTATTTAAACTCAAAAAACTCTTATTAGCACTTTGGTAATGTAGTGATGATGAAATCCCTCAGATTTTGCTTGTCATTTATATATATGACATATATTTCATTTGAGCCTGGTGGCTCAAATGGTAACAAATCTTCCTACAGTGCAGGATACCCAGGTTTGACCCCTGGGTTGGGAGGATCCCCTGGAGAAGGGATTGTCTACCCACTCTAGTATTCTTGACTAGAGAATTCCATGGACAGAAGAACCTGGTGGGCTACAGTCCTTGGAGTCACAAAGAGTTGGACATGACTGAACAACTAACACACACACAAATGTATATATAACATGTATACATTACATAGCATATACACACATATTATATAACATATAATATGCATATATTATTGCTGTTTTGGTGGTAGTGGTGGTTGGGTTTGAACCTGTGTCTCCTGCAATTGCAGGCTGATTCGTTACCTTTGAGAAACCTGGGAAGCCCCTTTGTGTGTGTGTGTATATCTAATACCCCCATTTTTTTTAATACCCCCATTTTATTTTTTTTATTTTTTTTATTTTTATTTTTTTTCCATTTATTTTTATTAGTTGGAGGCTAATTACTTTACATCATTGCAGTGGGTTTTGTCATACATTGAAATGAATTAGCCATGGATTTACATGTATTCCCCATCCCGGTCCCCCCTCCCACCTCCCTCTCCACCCGATCCCTCTGGGTCTTCCCAGTGCACCAGGCCCGAGCACTTGTCTCATGCACCCAACCTGGGCTGGTGATCTGTTTCACCCTAGATAATATACGTGTTTCGATGCTGTTCTCTTGAAACATCCCACCCTCGCCTTCTCCCAGAGTCCACAAGTCTGTTCTATACATCTGGGTCTCTTTTTCTGTTTTGCATATAGGGTTATCGTTACCATCTTTCTAAATTCCATATATATGTGTTAGTATACTGTAATGGTCTTTATCTTTCTGGCTTACTTCGCTCTGTATAATGGGCTCCAGTTTCATCCATCTCATTAGAACTGATTCAAATGAATTCTTTTTAATGGCTGAGTAATATTCCATGGTGTATATGTACCACAGCTTCCTCATCCATTCGTCTGCTGATGGGCATCTAGGTTGCTTCCATGTCCTGGCTATTATAAACAGTGCTGTGATGAACATTGGGGTGCACGTGTCTCTTTCAGATCTGGTTTCCTCGGTGTGTATGTAATACCCCCATTTTTAAAGGACAGTTTAGCCATGTAAAGCTTTGATGATTGGGTTGGCAAGGTTTTTTTCTTGTGGTACTTTTGATGTATCATGCTGCTGTCTTGGCCTTCAAGGTTTCTAGTTTTAAAGGGTTTTTCTTGGTGACAAGTCACTTCTTTCCTGTTTTCAAAAATTTCTGTCTGTCTTTAAATCTTGGTAATTTAGTCATAACATGTCTTGGTGTGGACCTCTTTGGGTTCCACCTATTTGGGAACTCATAGGCTTCATGAATCAAGATGTCCATTTCCCTCCCTAGATTTGGAATTTCTCAGTTATTATTTCTTTGAATAAGCTTTCTGCTCCTTTCTTTCTTTTTTCCCTACTGGGATTCTCAAATATATATGTATATTGCTAGTGGTATCCCATATGTGCTATGTATTCTGTTCACTGATTTTTCTTTTTGTTTTTCTAACCTGCTAATTTCAAATGGAATGTCTTCAAGCTTACTGATTCTTTGGTTTCCATGATAGAGTTTCCTTGGATGCTTTGGCATGGATTTGTAATTCAATTATTGAATCCTTGAGCTCCAGAATTTCTGTTAGGTTCTTTTATTTATGTTTTCTAGTCTTAATGAAGCTTCTCATTTTGTTCATGTATAGTTTTCCTGATTGTGTTTGTCTCTCTGCATTCTCTTGTAGGTCACTGAGCTTCAAAACAATGAATTTGAATTTTGTATCAAGCAGTTCATAGATCTCTATTTCTTTAGGATCAGTTTTGGAGTTTATTAGTTTCCTCTGGTGGTGTCATGTTTGCTAGATTCTTCATGATCTAGGTATGCTTGCACTGGTGACTGTGCATTTGAAGGAGCAGACACTGCTTCCAGACTTTACAGACTAGTTTCCACATGTAAATATTTACTGCCTTGTCCTTGAACTGATAGGACTGCCTCTGGAATCATGGACTAGCAAAGCTGAAGTCAGGTTATGTGGCTGCTCCTGGAGCTGCTTTGGGTTCTATGGTCAGTGGATGTGTAGCAAAGGCATGGATGGGTGTGGTTTTCTCTGTGTTCCTGCATGGTCAGGATTGCCTCCCTATGGTGGTAGAATGGGTCTGGACCTAAGTCAAAGGGCTGCTTCATACTCTGTACTCAGGTCTGCAATTTGCTCTCCTATTACCAGGGTTGCCAACAGGTTGTGCCTCCTTCTGGATATCTGGGCAGAAAGGACTGCCCAGGACCATGGTGGTGCACGGTTGGAGCAACATCATGGAACTGACTGTGGGTCCACAGTTCTGTCTGAAGTTAGTATGCATGTTGCTGGGGGCGCCCTGTTTCTGTGGGAGAATGAGAGCAGGGGAATGTCCTTTTATATCATCTTGATATCAAATATGAATACAGAAAAAGCACAATAATAGAGTTAAAATCAGTTAAATATCACCCCTTAGCATTTTCTGTGATTTCTGAGTCAGAAGAAATACCTGTAGTAGGAACTGTTTGGCAAACTCATAGTCCTGAAACTTCCAATCAGAACTCACTCTCTCCCAAGGTTATTGACAAATCCTGGGGTTTCAAGAGTGATGGTTAGGACCATACCCACTCTCCTATGACTCTCTGAGCTTTCTTAACTCATGTTCTTTCCCACTGAAGTCACTTAAGAAATTCTTGGAACTTTTGCCATTAAAAATTATCAGAAAAATATAAAAATCATACATGTCAGTTATTTATAATGTCTATATTTCTTCTCCCAGACAACCTTCCTACAGATTGGCATGCACTCTTAGATCCTGCTTCATTATTCTCCTTACCTAAGTCACTTGAGGACTAGCCCCTGGGAAAGAAAACTATTCAAAATAATAGCCTCACAGGTCTCAGGAAAATTTTCTAACTTTGTCTAGATGACAGATCTCTACTCTGTCATAGTCCATACCTTTCTGGGGTGGTTCTGTTCTTTATATGTCTGCATTCATGTTTGAGTGCCAACACATTATGCAATTTCCTTGGGCTCTGTAGTCCTGGGCTCCTAAATGTGAAAAATTCACTCCTCCAACCAATGATAAATTATATGTTCCTGGTATTCAGCCATTTCTGATGATAGGTCTTGAGCTCTATCAAGTAGTTTCCAGGCCTGTAGATAAGGAATTCATATTTTTAACCATTCTCAGAGTATACATTGTTGGGATACAGTCATCCCAAACTGACCCTGCAAATTCTTCTGTATTTCTCATCTGAATCTTGTTCATGAAAAGGCAATTCTGAAACCAACTATCAAATTCTCTATCTATGCCCCACTCCTGGAAAAGAAAAGCATTCACATCATTGCCTGTGATCTGCTGTTTTCATTTGTCAAGTCAGGATCAAGAACATTCACTGGGTTTGATTGTTTGTTTCTCTTAGGATTTGTGCGTCTGGCTGGAGGAGAAGGACCCTGCTCAGGGCGAGTAGAAGTGCATTCTGGAGAAGACTGGACCCCAGTGTCTGATGGGAACTTCACATTCCCCACTGCCCAGGTCATCTGTGCAGAACGGGGATGTGGCAAGGTTGTGTCTGTCCTTGGACATGTGCCCTTCAGAGAGTCAGATGGCCGGGTCTGGGCTGAAGAGTTCAGGTGTGAGGGGGAGGAGCCTGAGCTCTGGTCCTGCCCCAGAGTGCCCTGTCCAGGGGGCACTTGTCAACACAGTGGAGCTGTTCAGGTTGTCTGTTCAGGTGAGCTGTAGATCAGGTTTATAACCTCTCCACTTACCTTGTTCAAGTGGGAAAATAAGACTTCGTTGAAACCCTGTCTTCTTCTACCAATGTACACAGAAGTCCGACTCACGAAAAATGGCTCCTCTCAGTGTGAGGGGCAGGTGGAGATGAACTTTTCTGGACGATGGAGAGCGCTCTGTGCCTCCCACTGGAGTCTGGCCAATGCCAATGTTGTCTGTCGTCAGCTCGGCTGTGGAGTCGCCGTTTCCACCCCTAGAGGGCCACACTGTGTGGAAGGAAGTGAGCAGATCTCAACAGTCCGTTTTCACTGTTCCGGGGTGGAGTTCTTCCTGTGGAGTTGTCCTGTGACTGCCCTAGGTGGTCCTGACTGTTCCCATGGCAACACGGCCTCTGTGATCTGCTCAGGTAAGAGAGGGTGAAGGGCTACTGGTACTCAGGATGCTCCTGAATTGAAATGTCCCCAAGAGCAGAGAGTGACAGGAAACTGGCATCAAAATCAGATATTTCATGGTGAAATGTGGTTCTTCTCATTGTTCATTCATTTTCCAAGTCAGGACAAGAAGTGGTAAGGGGAAATAATGTATTTTTAAGTAACAGTATTATTTAAATATAATCATAGAAAAGAATGTATAAGCAGTAAGTGTAGTCTTCAGTCATGTACCCAGATCAGCAAAGAGAACATCCCCAGCACCACAGTTACTGTTGTTTCCCCATGACTGTGTCTCCCTCCTCTCCAGCTCAGACTGCCTTCCTAACTTCTACTACCATAGAGTGTTTTATCATTTTTTGAACTGAGTATAAAATTATGCAGTATGTTTTCTTTTGTGTATAACATCGAGTCACCATTATATCTGAGATTCACTCATGATGTTGCTTATAGAAGCATTTTATTAATTTTTATTACAATAGAGTATGTCTTTGAATGATCACACGACCATGAATTGATCCATTCCACAATAGATAGTAGAGATTTGAGTTGTTTCCTATTCTTGACTATTACAAAAATGATGCTACAACTTGCCATGACAATGACTTTGGGTGCAAACATGTTATTTATCTTGTATGTTTAACCTTTGGCCTTTCATTTTCATTTTTTTAATTGTATGGTGTCCTTTGATGAGCCAATCTCTTAATCTTAAGAAATTGCTGCTTACTAACTTCTTCCTTTACATTTAATGCTTCTTATATCCTTTAAAAAGAACTTTGTCTACTCTAAGACCATAAAAACATTCTCCAAGAGTATCTTGTAGAAGTTTAATTATTTTTCTCTTGCATAGAATTGTGCATCCCTTCTGCAACTGATACCTATGTAAGTTAAGACCAAGTTTCATATGACGTCGAACTGACTCAGAATCTTTTTCTGAGAAGACTTTTTTCCCCACTGCAGTGCCACCTTTGTCATAAGAAGAGCATATGTCTTTTTTAAGACTCTCTTTTTTATTCCATTGTATCATTTGTCTATCCTTGCACCAATACTGCATTTTCTTAATTATTGTAACTTTATAGGAAGTCTGGATAATTTTTATGTATAAGAGTTACTTTATATTATTAACTCTTCTACTTTTGTTGCTTTTTAGGTAAACTGCGTTGGTCATTCTTGTTCTTTTGTATTTTATTTCAATTCTGGATTCAGATTTTCATTTTAAAAACATATGTATTTATTTGATGGTGTTGAGCATTAGTTGCGTGTATGGATCTTCATTATTTCTTGTGGAATCTGTTATGACACATGGACTGCCTAGTTGTGAAGCTCTTGCTGAGATCCTCTATGGCATGTGGGATCTTAGTTCTCACACCAAGGATTGAACCTGAGTCCTCTGCATTGCATGGTTGATTCTCAATCACTGGGCCAGGAGAGACGTCCCTCAGCTTGTCATTTTTCACCAAAAAAGAAAAAAAGCATAAGTGTATTTTGTTTGAGATTAGAGTTAATCTACACAGAAATTTGAGGTGATTGACTGATGATGTTGAATCTTCCAATTCATTGACATTATATATATCCCTCCATTCAGTTAGGTCTCAGAAGTTTTACCCATCCTTTGCTAGGTTTTGCTCCTAGGCATTTTATGTTTTTGATGTTATAAGTATTTCTTTTAGTTGGAGAAGGAAATGGCAACCCACTCCAGTGTTCTTGCCTGGAAAATCCCATGGACAGAGAAGCCTGGTAGGCTACAGTCCATGGGGTTGCAAAGAGTTGGACACGACTGAGTGACTTCACTTCACTCTTAGTCGAAGTGCCCTAGGAATGATTTATCTCTGACTTGTTTTTACTTTTCCTTTTTTAAAATTTTAATGTAATTTAAGACTTACAGAAAAGGTGTAAGAATAATATAAGACTACAGAAGACCTTTGGCTGGATTTCCCAATGTTAGTATTCTGCTTTAATCTCTCCCCCCTAGTTGATATCTCTCTCTATCTGTTTCTGTCTTTAGTTCTCTGTCCCCCTCCAACCACATTTCTCCATGAATATGTAAAATCTTTCTGAATTAGGTTGCAAACATGATGTCTCTTTATCCCTAAAATGCTTCAAGGGATTTCCTTATGTAACCACACTTCAGTCAAGTCATCAGATGACTTCAGCCCCAGATGACATCTAAGTGCAACCACATGAAAGACTCTAAGGCAGAACTGCCAAGTGGGATCTTTCCCAAATTACTTACCCAGCAAGTCTTAAGCAAAATGAAGTATATTTTTTTTCTTAAGTGGCTAAGTTTTATGGGAAAATTTATTATATAGAAATATAAACAGGACACGCTTCCCTGGTGGCTCAGTGGTAAAGAACCCACCCGCCAAGTCAGGAGACACAAGTTCCACCGCTGCTTCTTGAAGATTACCTGGAGAAAGAAATGGAAACACACTCCAATATTTTTGCCTGAGAAATCCTATGGACAGAGGAGCCTGGTGGACTACAGTCCATATGATCCTCAAAAAGTGTCAGACATGATTGAGCAACAGCAACAGCAACCAGGACACTTATTATGTAAACTGTATCTCTAAATAGAAGACTATTTATCCTCTGATCTTCTGTTTGCTTTTTCTACCTTATGCCAAGCTAATGTGTTGAAACTCTCATCCTTTATTTCTTAATAGTGGCTGTTAAGTTTTTCAGCTCTAGAATTTTTATCTGTTGTTATTTTGTCAGTTTCTTTTGTCAATTAATTCCACGAGGCTGTCAATCACAGCTATTTAAATTCTCCATCAGATAACTCTAGTAGCTGAATAACTTGGGAAATTCTTTCCAATGTCTTTTTCCTCCTGGTTTTCTATGCAATTTCTTTTATATATGTATTGTTTTTAGGAATAGACATTGTAGATGAAAAAGTGGTAGAATCCCTTTGGGAAAGATTTTATTTTGTTTTTCCTGTTTATGGATAGATTTAGAGACAAAAGAGCTTATTTAACTTATTCTTAGTGCAATGGTTGGCTGAAACCAATTGTGGTGCTGTCAGAAGCACAACTCTCCCTAGAGTCGGTGAGCCCTAAGATTATGATAACCTTACTGTTACATTGTTTATATCAGACTTTATCACTAGGTCGTTATTTAGCTTAATTCAATTTCCTGTTCTTCAATCCACCAATCCTCTGATCATTGCTGTTTCTACAGGAAACCAGACCCAGGTGCTGCCCCAGTGCAACGACTCCGTGTCTGAACCAGCAGGCTCTGTAGCCTCAGACGAGAGCGCCCTCTACTGCTCAGGTGAGGGTCCCACAGGAGAGAAGAACATTTTCCCAGCCCCCGCCGCCATCAACGCCCCATTGTCCCATTTCTCTCTCCTCAGACAGCAGACAGCTCCGCCTGGTGGACGGGGGCGGTCCCTGCGCCGGGAGAGTGGAGATCCTTGACCAGGGCTCCTGGGGCACCATCTGTGATGACGGCTGGGACCTGGACGATGCCCGTGTGGTGTGTAGGCAGCTGGGCTGTGGAGAAGCCCTCAATGCCACGGGGTCTGCTCACTTCGGGGCAGGATCAGGACCCATCTGGTTGAACAACTTGAACTGCACAGGAAATGAGTCTCACGTGTGGAAGTGCCCTTCCCGGGGTTGGGGGCAGCACGACTGCAGACACAAGCAGGACGCGGGGGTCATCTGCTCAGGTGGGTGCTGCACACAGTCCACAGGCTGGGGGAGATGTGGGGCCCTGTAGGACGGGAGTCTGAGCTCTGAGAGAGAGATGCTGAAAGGACCAGAGATGGAAGCTTCCTCCCATGGATCCAATATTTCCAGCAGACGTGAAGACTAGGTGCTTTCACTTCTTCCTGTAGCAGCGGACCTTCTAGTCCTTTCTTCTCAGCAGAGTTTCCTGGCAGAGCCGTTTCTTAGAATTTCCAGTTGAAAGTAGGATTCACCTTGCCTTACATGTGGGACGAAAATCTTAAATCCATGGTACTAGTTTCTGTAGCAAATTACCACATAGTTGTTGAAAACAACATATATTTATTGCCTTGGGAGTTCTGTAGGGTCGATGTTCAACAGGATCTCCCTGTTGGAATTAAGATTTCAGCAGGGCCACATCACTTCTGAGGCTTTGGTGAAGAATCCTGTTTTTTATATCAAGGTTCTTTTCAGATGATTTGCATTCCTTGGCTCATAGCCCCCCTTCATCCATCATCAGACCAGCAATGCTGCAGGTCTCTAACCATTATCCAGAGTCACACCTCCCTGGAGCCAGAGCCAAGAAAGAGTGCTTCTATAGGTTTGGCCAAAAGCTTCCTCCGTTTTTTTTTCCTGTAAGATGATCCAGTAACACTTAGTTGTCTTTCACTTCATTTGAAACAATTTTGTTAGATTGTTCTGTGGCAGCTTTCATATCAACATGCATCTTTAAAAAATAGAAATAAAAATTGGTGAATTTTTGTGTAGCTATTTTAATATTGAAAATGGAAGAAAAAAAGCAACATTTTCAGCATATCATGCTTTATTATATCAAGAAAGGTTAGAAACACAACTGAGATGCAAAACAAATTTGTAGAGTGTATGGAAGTGTGGTGACTGATCAC